CCCCAGAAGACCCCATGTGACCCAGCCTGGGCGGAGATGGAAGTAGAAGTCTGCTAGGAGTTTTTGGAAAAATGTTTCTCCCCCTCTGATAAAAGGCACCAGAGGAGAAAGACTCTCCCCCACCTCCCATTTTTTGTTCTGTGTGGGATGCTTGTGTAAGCTTGATGCCCGGGACTGCAGCAGCCACTCTGTGGCCAGCAGGGGAGACATGGACTACATGCTAAGGATGACAGAGCAGGAGGGATGCCAGGCACTTTGATGGCATCTCTGTTTCCTAATCAGCTCAGGGTCACCTACCTTTGCACTTCCTGTTAAGGAGACAATAGGGTCTGTAGGGATTAAACCACCTCTATTTGGGTTTCCTGCTGCTGGCAGATAACTCAGAGGTTACCTTTGGAATCAACATCCCTCCACTACCGCCCAAAACCCCCAATCTGAGGCACTAGAGGACAATGAGACAGACTCAGGGAGGACGGAGAACAGACCTGAACTCCACAGGTGGCTGGGCCTCTGGAGCTGAGGAGCAGAGGTCCCAGGAGGGAGTGGGGCATGTGGGCTGTGGGTATCTGGGGTCCCAAGGACAGGGGGTGGGGAAGAAGGCAAATCCCCCATTAATCTGTCCAGGGTGAGTGTTGTTATTGTTATTATTATGAGGCATCTCAAGGCTCACACTCATCTTGGCCTGGCTGGGCCCCACTAATGGCCCCATAAATCCCAGCCATAAAGAGTAATGGGGGGAGACAAATGAGATAATTAGGAATAAATCTCACCGAGGTCTCTATTCAGCAGCGTCCCTGGAACTGGCCAATCTTCCAAGCCATTAGCCAGGCCCCTAATTAATGCTGAGCTGCCCTGGCTGCGTGCGGAGACTCCAGCACGGGAGGGACCAGGGCTGAGGGGTGCCACTGCCCCCACAGCCCAAGGCAGGCGACCTTGAGACGAGGTGAGGGACGGTGCTCGCAGCCTGCCTGCTTCACTTTTCTGCCTCCCTGGGGCCTTGTGGGCTCTTTGTCCGCACTGTCCCGTCTGCCTCCACGTCTCTGCCGCCTCTTCTTCACCTCACTCCATCACCATCTACCTCTCATCTGTTTCTCTCTTATCAGACCATCGCGGCGGGCAGCGTTGAGCCACGGAAGGTCTGAGATAGCAGGAATCACGGGGCCACCTGTAATAACCTGCCACTCTGTCCTCCCTGCCACCAGTCTATCCTGGGGCAGGGACCCCATCTCTATCCCCGCTCCCAGCCCTTGGAACAGCAGGGCCCCCCGAGCCCTGTGGCAGCCCAGCCCCCTCGCAGCGCCTCTCACTGTGAGAGAGCTCTCTGGCCTCGCCTGCATTCGCAGCTCCCAGACTTGTGCCTCCTCTGGCCCCACACAGGGTCGTCTGATCCCACAGTGACTTCTGTGGTTTTAATCTGCCAGGCTTCTCCCCTCTTTTTGTTCCAGCACCCCTGCTTCATTGGAGAGCTCCCTTTCCTTGACTCCACATGGTCCAGGAGGGGCAGGCCCCTCGAGGTCCCCCATCCCCTGGCACTGTGACTGGCCTGGGGTGCGCCTCAGCCTGTGTGCAGAATTGGCAGGTAGACCCAGTGTGTGAACATGCTGCCCTCCCACCTTCTTGGCCCCTACCCATCTGGGTAGCGCTGAAACCAGGAAGAGGCAGGCTAGAGCTGGTGGGAACTGGGGCACAGTGGCTGCTCCGGGGCTGGAAAGATAGTAAAAGCAGGTGAGGGGCATGGGAAGGGGGTGGAGGGTGAGAGGGTCGTCGGGTGATGGGAGGGCTGCGGTTCCAGGGACCATGCCGTGTCTCCTTGCCATCCTAGGTAAGTCAGGATGTGGAAAGGAGCCTAACATGGAGGCGATAGGGGCCAGGTCTGTCCCCTCTGCTGCTCCCATGTGTGACTGTGTCCCTACTGCTCCCCCAAGCCCCCTGCTCCGGGTCTGGCCTAGGAGCAACCACATGCTTTCCCACCACTCGGCTGTGGGGGGCGTCTGCACAGGTGTCCTGAGACCCTCAGGACCCGGGTGCCGCCCCTATGCCTGGTGAAGGCCCTGGGGCGGGACTATTCAGAGTTGTGCTGTCCGGGGTGCCCCTGCCGTGGGGGTGGCAGGGCCTGAAGCTCAGTTTGCCTTGCTCTGTGTGCAAAAACAGGGAATGCCAATAAATTGTGCCGAAGAATGGGAGAAGCTTCTGGGACAGTGGAGAGAGAGGGGCTGGCCGATCACCTCTCCCCTCCCCAGCCATCCCCCGGCTCAGCTACTGGCTTGGTCAGGGGCAAAATCTCCTGGGTCTGGCACACAAGATCACCCAGGGATCCCTTATTTTGGGCTCATCACCTTCTCCTCCCGCAAGCCTGGTAATGGCAGCCCAGCTTAAGAGTGCGACCTCTCAGGGCCTCCCTGGCGGTGCAGCGGTTGAGCGCTGGGTTGCGAAGCTGCCTGCAGCCTCTGCAGCACCGGTTCGATCCCCGGCTGCTCCCCGGCCACCGAAGGAGGGTCCCACATGGCGCGCAGACCTCTCCTGCCGCCCGCTGCTCCCCTCAGCAGTGTACTTCGGTCCTTCTGCCTGCTCTGCTCCCCGCTCTGGCTCCGGTGAATTCTCTCACCCTCCCCCGCTTCTGACTGTACCCAGTGCTTGTATAAATAAATAAATAAATAAACAAACAAACAAAAAAAATGAGGGCGACCTCTCAGGACATCTCTCGGGCAAAAGTGAGTCCATCTGCCGCTCGTAGAGGAGAAGGAAATCAGTTTGTAATCTTGGGTCCATTCCCTGGATACTGTAGCAACCATGAGATTCCCAGAGTCGCATCACACAGAGAAACTGAGGAGAGTGGGGATGCTTCTTCCTCACCAGCCACAGCAGAGCCAGGGCTAGCGCTGACCTCTGGATCAGACCAGCTGGATGGAGAGCAGAGACTGGGAGTCGAGAACAGCCATGGGGCTGGGTGGGGGGAGGTCAGGGCTACCCTGAGGGGCAGCTGGGCAGGGTTGGGTGAGGGGCAGCTAAGACAAATGCCATCTACTTGCAGCTGGGATGAGGCCCCTGGGCAGGATGGGAGGTGTGGGGTGGTGGGGCAGGCAGGGATGAGGAGACACGGTTCTGCAGTGCAGCACGCCAACCATGGCTGGCAGGGGTTGCAGGCTTTGAAATGTGAAGTGTGTGTGTGTGTGTAGCGTGTGTGTGTGTGTAGCATGTGTGTGTGTGAGACTTTTGGAATGTGATGTGACTGAATGGAGAGTCTGTGTGAGTGTGAGAGTGTGTGGGTATGTGTGTTGGAGGAGGGTGCTAAATCCTCCTGTCCTACCCCCACGGCGCTCAGCCTCTCGGGTTTCAGCCACTGTCCTAAAGAAAACCGCCCAGAGCTGCAGCAGGAAATCGCTATTTGGATTGCAGAGGTGCCTCTTCCTGCCACGGCCACCCCTCCCCCGTGGCCCCCATGGAGGGGAGAGGGCCAGGGAGGGGGCCTTCCTGCCCACCTGGACCAGACCTCCAGTTGGTCAGGAGCTCCCTCCACCGGGTCCTCCCCGCCTCTCTAAGTCCCTCAGACCCCAGCCTGAGCACGGCTGAGGGAGAACCCATTCCCTCATTGTCAGGGCCAAGGGGCGTAGCAGTAAGAGAAGTGGACACTCCTTTGGTCCCGGGTGGGAGTGGGTGATGGTGTCAAAGTCACAAACTCGGGGCCCTTTGGCCCAGCAACCGCTTTCAGGAACATTCCACAGCTATAGCTCATTCGTGCAAGAGGCTGCGTTCAGACCACTTTGTCTGCAACATGGAAGGCAATGTCGCTCGTGCCTCAGAGAGCTGACTCCAGGCTGCTCTTCATCGTGTGGGTAAGGGAGAGCCCCAGATAAGTGGTTAAGTGACAAAAATGCCATAGGGCGATGTGTAAAGGAGCCCCACATTTCTGTGAAAAGAAAGTACATGTAAATGCTTGTATATGCACAGATTTTTGAATCTTTTGTGCTTTGGGCATGCAAAGCACAAAGTTGAAAGAAGAAAGCAAAAAATTGAAATAAATAAACATCAGATGGAACTTTCGTCCTGGCTTTGATCTTGTCTGTCTGACCCTGGGCAGGTGAACTCCTTTCTGCGTCCTGATTTTCTTTTGTGGTCCCAGAGGTCAGAAAACCTCAATGTGGTGTTGGGGCCCATGTATGTGTGTGTGTGCTGTTGGGAGGGGGACACCTCTTATACCCTCTCTGGCTGCAACTGCTGCCCGTCCTAGGACCAGACAGCTCAGCTTTCATCCGGCCCCTTTTCAGAGGCCATGTTCACTCCAGCCTTTGTTCCTGGAAGCAGTGCCCATCAATTTCCCACGACGTCCCCCCTCTTCTAGGCTTTCTCCAACCGTGTCTTCTCAGGCTAGCCCAAGTCCAACTACTAGATGTGCTCTCACCCAGGACCCCTCCTGGCTTCCTCAGGCCCAGGATGGGGTGGTGCGGGCTCCGGTCAGCCCTTCCTACCCTGCTGGGCTCCCGCCTGCCTCTCTCATAAGCCGGGGCTCCAGGCCTGCTGATAATTAGGGAAGACTGACGCTGGGCTGGGCCACCCCCACTCAGGCCATACTTGCCTCCAGTCCTGCGTTGCTGGGTCCGGGGCTGCCTCCTTCAGGCACTGCTCTGCCCTCACCAAGGTGGCACCCTGTGCCTTGGAACCATCATGGGAAGGAAGGGCTTGAGAAGCCAGAGTCAGCAGATTAATTAATCAAAACCCGAACACAGCTGTTGTTAATTAATTCTATGCCAAGGGTTAACTCTTCCCTCTCTGGGCTTTTCCTTCCCTTTGGCGGGAAGAAAATGATGGTGGGGAGTCAGTAGCCCCCTCCTTTCCATCCCTGGGGGGACAAGAACAAGGGAGGGGAACCGTTAAGGGCAGCAGCTTTCTGGGGCAAGGAAGGCAGAAGGCAGAGGATCCCCCTGAGGGCAGGGATCCTCAACCTCTTGGGTGCTCTGCAGGGGCCTGTGGAGTGCGCGCTTGAGTCGTGGTCCATGGACGTGACTCATGAGTCCTGGGGAAATCTGAGATGGACAAATATCTTTATTTACAGCAACACATAGAACAGACCCTCCCTCCGTCCCCTCCCGCTCCCCTTCCAGTCTTTTCTATACTGTTCCTCTCCCGCTTGCCCTAGATCCATGCCCAGCTTGCCCTCTTGAGTCACTGTGTGGTCAGGTCCCCACAAGAACCCGGGGAGGGAGACAGTGGAGGGGCTTGGGTGAGTGGGGGGTGGGTGTCTCTTCACATTTTGCTGTCCTCTAAGCCGGGGTGTTGGGGGAGACAGGCCCAGGAGCAATGAGAGGTAGAGAAGCGCCCAGCCCTGCGTCCTGCCTCCCACATCCCCCTCGCCTCCCCCAACTTTCACAGTGTTCAGCAGCCCAGGCAGCTGGGCGGTGGGAGCGGTGTGTCCTGGTAACCAGCGAGGACGACAGGCTGTCTGCAGTGGGCCCTGCTCCTGTGGCTGAGGTGGCCCCGGAGTGGCCCCTTCTCAGCGGGTGGGGGTTCAGAGAAGGCAGTGAGGGGGGGTTGGGAGAGGGCGGGGGAGGGGTGATCCAGCCTTGTGTGCGGCCGGCAGGACTCCGCTGCCGGCCTCCGCGGGTCAGGAGGAGAAGCAGAGCCCGCAGCACTCCATGCAGATCTCCAGGCAGTCGGCTGACTCGCAGCAGGCGTCCAGGATACCGCAGTCCAGGTCGCAGGGCAGGTCGCAGTCAGCGCACTCGCCGGAGCCGCAGCAGCAACAGCAGAGGCAGGAGTCCTCGGAGCTGCAGGAGCCACAGGTGGCACAGTCCAGGACAATGTTGCACAGCGTCAGGAACTCGCAGAAGAGGCAGGACAGGATGCAGTGGACGCAGCAGTCTGCAGGCCGGGAAGGCAGAGAGAGCAGAGAGCTGAGGCGCCAGGCAGGACCCAGCACTGCAGGGGCGGTGGGAGTGCTGGGCGTGCAGTGTTCGCAGTGAGGAAGCTCATGCCACCCTAACGCAGCTCCTTGAAGGGGGGGCTGTGAGGAGCCCCACTTTACAGGTGATGACCCCGAGGCACGGATAATTACACACACCTACGCCAAAAGTGGCCTGACTGAGCCCAGGCAGCCTGGCTCCTGAGATCCTGCTCTTAACTTCTCCCCCCCTTAGTCATTTATTTAACAAACACACCAAGTGATGACAAGTTCCAGGCTCTGTTTTGAGTATTGGGCATAAATGAAACTCATTTAAACTTGCAACCATGCCAGCTACTATCAGCCCCATCGACAGATGAAGAAACTGAGGCACAGAGAAGTCACTTCAAAATAGCTTGCCACCTGCTCTTCTCCCACCTGCAGTTGCTCCTCCCTGGCCTCCTTGTTTTTGATCATCCTTCACTTACTCCCCAAGCAACAAATCTCCCCACATCCTGGCCAGAGGGATCCTCGAAAAACTCCCATCAGATTCCATCCCTCCTGGACTCAGAACTCCCCCATGGTTTCCATCTTGCCCAGAGTTAAAGCTAAAGTGTTCAGTGATCCCACTTGGGCACTGCTCCCCAACTCTGCTGCTCTCCCTCATGACTCTGCTGTAGTCACGCTGGCCTCCACTATCCCTGGTCCAGGGCACGGATCTCCCCATCAGGGACACTCTTGCCCAAGACACACCCACGTCTCACTCCCTCGCCTCTTTCTATGCCTGAACGTCTCCTCATAGGGAGGCTTTCTACAAGCACCCTGGGTACTGCTACTGCCCACCCCATGCCAGCACTCCTATCTCTTTGCCCAGCTTGGCCTGTTTTGCTTGTGCGCCACCAGACGTATCACTTTCCAGTATAATACACGGCTCTCTCCTCCTACTAAAGTGTAAGCTTCTGGGGGCCTCCCTGGTGGCTCAAGGGATTAAGTCTCAGCTCAATAAATCTGTCCGCAGCCACTGCAGCACGAGTTCAATCCCCGGCCGGCCAGGGAGCTGACCTCTCCTGTCTCGTCCGCTGCTCCCCTCAGCAGTGTATTTCAGTCAATCTGCCTATTCTGCTCCCCACACTGTCTCTGGTGAATCCTCTCACCGCCCCTCTCCACACTGCTGGCCTGCACCCCAGCTCTTGTATGCATAAATAAATAAACCTTTTTTAAAAAAAGTGTTAAGTGTCCCCAGAGGCCAGAATCATTATCTCTTTTGGTCACTGATACATCCCAAGTCCCTGAAAAGGTGCCTAGTACTTTGTAGGTGCTGAGGAAATAAATGTTTAGTGAATTAAAGCATGAGCTTTGCCTTGGGCACCAGCTGATGAGTGGTGGGGCTGGGGAGTTGGCTCTAAAGTCTATACTTAAGCCCTCAGCGTGCTGCCTGGATGCTGAGCTGGCACCTTGGCCAGGGGCCAGGCCTTGGGGTACAGTGTCATGGCCCCTGACCCGGTGTGTCTCTGGCACAAGGCTGCTGGTCCTTTGGAAGTCTCACACTGGCAGAGAGGGTCTGACTCTCCCACCCTATCCCTGGGCGGTGGGACTGAGGTCTTGCCTAGCTAGAACCCTGGCGATCTATCTACAACCTGGTTAGAATGGGAATTGTTTCTCAAATGCAAATCTGATGAGGTCTTTACCTTGCTAAACCCCCTTCAATGGCTCTCTATTGCCCTTCAGATAAAGTCTATGTCTCTGCATGGTTTCCAAGCCTCCTCTTTCCCAGCCTCTGCCTGCTTAGAGTCTCACCTCCCACCATTCATTACTTTGACCATCATAATCTAGCCTCATTAGCAACTTCTCCCCTCTGTGCTCATGTCCCCCTTGCTAGATGCTTCCTTTAAGGCTTGCTCAGATATCTCCAGAGCCTTCCCAGGCAGCTTCCCATCCTGGGCTTATGTGGGTGGCCCCCCCGAGTTTGCACAAACCCCTGCTGCACATCACTGTATTTATCACACTGTATGGTGATGACCTGTTTGTCTTAGTCATGAGAGTTTCATGAGGTCATGGAATGGGTCCCCAGCACGCAGCCGGGACACAGCACACAGCGGCTGCCCAGTACATTTAAGTGAATGAATACCCCTGCAGTAATAAGATGTTGGGCAGAAGCTCTTTTACAGGCTCACGAACACATCCTGAGCAGATGTGTGCACTGAATCCTATTTGCAGATGACCAGGCCAGAGTCCAGCATGGACAGCAATCACTTAGAAATTTTGGAGTGAAGGTCAAGCATCACTGAGCTACAGGCAGCTGCTAGCCTATGCTGGATGGAAGCCTGGGAGGTTGGGGAGCTACCAGGTGGCCCCACAGAGGACCTTGTGAAGCAGAAACAGTGGTGGTGCATCTGGGTCCTCTGACCTCGCATTGTACCTCACAGCCCCCGGCCCATCCCCAACTAAGCATCTGATATGCATCATTTTATCTGCTAAGTGTTCTTAAGCTCTCACTAAACAGATGGTCCACTCCTCGAAGAAACGTCCGCGTGCAGAAATGGGGTGGCTTAAACTGGATCTGTCCAGAGGGTACCATTCCTTATTACAGCAACTGGGGGAGCAGGGGTGGGAAGGGGTTGGCTTTGACAGTGCAGACATGCCTCACTTTACCCAATGTATGCACTCTTCAAGGTTCTCTGATTTGAGAGTGGTTGTTAAAACCCAGGCTCCTGAGCTCCAGCCAGAACTTCAGATCCAGTGACCTGGAGTCTCCACTCTGCACGCCTAGGCAGTAACCTAGTGGAAATGCTGCTCCTGGTCCCCATATCCCCTGCTCTGTGAGGAGGGGGGGGCGGTGGGGGCTTACCTTCCTGTGCCTGCAGAGGAATCTGGGAGGCAGCCGACTTGGTACTGCCTTTGCTCTTCTTGCTGCCCTGGCTGGCGAGAGATGGGTGTGTCTGCAACTTCCGGTGGGCCTTGGAGCCCCCCAGGGCACCGTTCCCCGCCCGCTTGGCACTGCCCAGCTCTGAGGAGTGGCCAGAGCCGTTCGCCAGTAGTGGGGTGCAGCCCAAGGGGTTCCCCTGAGGCTGGCCTAGAGAGATGAGAAGAATTGATGGAGAAAGGGTGGGCGTGGGCCTCCCTGGTGGCACAAGGGGTTAAGATGCAGCACTATGAAGCTATCTGCAGCCACTGCAGCACAAATTCAATCCCCGGCCAGGGAGCTACCCACATGGCACAGCAGACCTCTCCTATCTCACCTGCTGCTCCCCTCAGCAGTGTATTTCAGGAGATCCACCTGTTCTGCTCCCCACTCTGTCTCTGGTGAATCCTCTCACCCCCTGTCACGCCTCTGGTCTGTACCCCAGCTCTTGTATGCATAAATAAATAAATCTTTTTTTAAAAAAAAGGAAGGGTGGGCGCCATACAGTCTCCCAGAGCACTAATCCTGCCTGCGTGGTTCTTAGATATTCCATGGGTGTCCTAGCCAGACTTGTATTCTTCAGATGGGGAAACTGAGGCCAGAGAACAGAACTGACTTGCCCAGAGGCACACCTTAAAATAGCAACAAAGTTGAGTCCAATTCCTGTGTCTCAGATTTAGAAAAGACAAAAGTGCCAAGCAAGGGGTGAAGCTCAAAGTCTGAGACCCCAGCTTCTTAGCCACATGATATCCATTCTGCTTTTGGAGCGCTGTGATTTGGGCCGCGGTGGTGCCGGTAGTGGGGTGGAGTAACAGGGATGGTGAGGCTGGAGTCGGTGAGGACAGCAGTGAAGCAGTTAATCTTCACTTCAGCCTCTGCCAAGCCCCCAGCTGTTTTTGCCCTTCGTGCACTGGGTGATTTATTGGAAACATCTGTTTGGAGATGAACGCCCTGGTCTTGGAATCCAGGGGCTCCTCACTGCAGCCCCTCTATCTCCTACTCCTGCCTCGGCTCCCTCACCCCTGCTGTCCTCTGTAGGGCGACAGGCAGGAAGAGCTTGGTGAGGGCCCTTGGTGAGCTGGGTGAGGAGGGAGAGAAGGGAAGGAAGAAAGCAGGGAGATCCCCAAGGCTAGGAGCCCCGAGTCCTCATCCAAGGCTGAAGGGTCAAACTCCAGCTTTATCAGTGGGGTGCCAGAGAGCTAGCCCTGAAGGTGCCCGAAAACACCCAACTCCTTCCTTCTCTTTCCTCAGATTTGCTCATCTGGACAGCACAGTTCTGTTCTCAAGTGACGAGAACAGGTGTGTATGTTTTGGCTGGTCAGGGACCAAGAAGGGGTGACTGAGAGCTCCGGGACACTTCAGCTGCTCAGGGCCCCTGACTCCTGGGAAGGGCCCTCTCTGGCTCTGAGGACCTCTGTAAATAGGGGCTCATCAGGCCCTCAGGCCTGGGTTCTGGACCCCAATTTCTTCCAGGCCTATCATCTGTGTTTGAATTGTGGCTGGCAGGAGGAGATATCTGAGGAGGGGGTGGGGAAGCTGGAGGTGAGGAGACAGGAAGGTGGCCTCAGCGTTTCCCTAACTGAGGGGCTGAGTCTTCTCGTAATGGTGCTGGTCCCGACATGGCACTTACCGCATGCCAGCCCCTGCTCTCAGCACCTGACACGCTGCTTCTCTTCTCACTGAATCCTCTATGTATCTCTGTAGGGCAGTAGCCTCCTTTTACATCCAAGGAAACTGAGTCCCAGAGAGGTTCAGTAACTTGTCCAAGGACACAGAGGCAATAAGTGGCAGAGGTGGCACTAACCTGGAGGCTAAAAGCTAGGATTCACAGGGCAGAGAGGCAGGCAAGTAGGGGTAGGAGTTGGGAGCCATAGGCCTGGGAAATAAGCCACTGCGATCACAGCAATCACTGCTCTTCTAATTAGTAGCTTACATGTTTTGAGTTGTTACCACTTAGCAGGCACAGTGCGAAGGGCTTTGTGTACAGTAAGTTCTAAGAGCAACACAACAGAGGTGGCATTCCTGGCCCCATTTCACAGATGAAAACACTTTGGCCTAGAGGTTAAGCTTTACCAAAGCTTCCATAGCTGGGAGGTGGAGGAGTTGGGGTGGAGAGGAGGAGAAAGGAGATGGGACAAGTGGGGCGTCAGGGGAGGATGGAAGCCAGGCTCAGGAGTGGCTGAGGTGTGGCTGGTGCCTGCATCTGGGTAAACAGGGGTAAGGCCATGGGAAGTGGCCAGGCCTGAATCATCCTGCCCTCACCTCTTGGCCCCATGGAGGGTAATTGGGCCGACTCCTTGGCCAGCTTAGGTGCCCCCTGCCCTGCTGCCTAAACGCAGGCACCATGGCAGAGGGTGGGAGTGCGTGGTGAGCCAAGGGCCCTGGGAGGTGTGGGCAGACACAGAGCTCGCCTGTGGCCACAGCCATGGGGTGGCCGTGGGAGCTGAGTCACAGAGCAAATACTCGGGGCCCACAGACACAAGGAGCGACTGTCCAACTCCCATCGGGGCCCCTCCTAGTGGCCAGGGCACTGACCTCTTTCTCTCAATTCTGCTGGTGGGTGTGTCTGGAGGAGGCCGAGGGCAGTGCACTAGCAGGGTTTAGTAACTGACTTCCAGGGAGTCCAACTTAGCCCCAGATGCCCTGGCTGAAGGCGGTTCCTGCTTGATCATGCCAGCTGGGTAGGCGGCCTGGGAGAGAGCAATGGGTCAGGAGACCTGGCTCCCAGCTTGCGTCTGGGTCACCTGTTGTCTGTGCCTCAGTTTCCTTGTCTGTGAAATGGGCCTGGCAGTTGCTATCCTGCTGTCTCACGACATGCTGATTTGGAGGGTAAGAAAACTAGGACGTGCACATGCGTTTATAGAGTTTGTGGGTCTTATTAGTCATTACAAGAGGATTCTGGCTGCCCCATCCCCTGCTCTTGATGGTGAAGGTGAAGAATTCTCTCCCTCCTGGGATCTCCCTGGAGACTTTGAGTCAAACCTGGGAATGGAGCTGCATTTTGCTTCTTTCTGTCCACAGCAACTGAGCATTTCTCTTTTTATTTTTTTGCTTTAGATACTCCAAAGTAAAGGGGCCCCAGCACCCTACTCTCTAAAGTCTGGGGTAACTCTTTTCATAGAGCCCCATGCTTTCCTGTCCTGACCCATATTGCCTGGAGAGTGTCCCCACTCATTCATCCTGACCACTTTGTATGTGCAGGTATTCCTAGACGGGAAGGACACTGACCTGTCACACGGCTTTCCCCTGCCCAAGCTACCACCCTCGAGGTCCTGGCCCCGTGCTAGGCTCCCATGGGCACCCACTGCATTTCTGCCAGCCCACCTAGATGGAATCCCCCAATGCATCCTTACATGTTGCCACCCCAACCTCCCAGCCCCCTAGGACTCACGTGTCACAGCTTCTGTGGTGACATCGAGGTCAGTGATGTCCGGGCCCTGGGGAGCCCCAGGGCCATTGCCTTGGGGCATGGGGGGTGCCACCTCCTCCAGTGAGCCCTCCTCTAGTTCTGCCTCCACAGGGTGGATGGACTCTGCAACTACCTCCAGCCCAGGCGGGAAGGGTGGGGTCTGGGCTAGAGAAAAAGCAGATGACCGCAGGATATTTTCCTGGTGTCCTATTTGCCCAGCCACCATGCTCTCCCCACAGCCCAGAATGCCAGGGCCCTTGCTCTTGGTCTCTTTGTACCAGTTACCCAGCCCTCATCCTCTCTGGCAATAGTGTCAGATTCTAAAGTAGAAGCTCCCAAAGCACAACTTGTGAGTGAATCAGGATGCGTGCGTGAACCAGGGTGTGTGCGTGAACCAGGGTGTGCGCGTGAACCAGGGTGTGTGCATGAACCAGTGTGTGTGCACATGTGTGTGGTGTCAGGGAGAGGGGCCGGAGATGTGTGGGATTACAGGGAGTGGAGAGAGAGGCAGAAGCCCCATGCGGAGAGAAGAGACGGAGGGTCAGCGATGGAGAGAGAGAGACAGGCAGCAGCTGACAGCAAGAGAAAAGAAAGGAGGGGGCCGTGAAAGGGAGAGCGGAGAGATAGCGCATCAGAGGTGGAGATTGGGCCCTGCAGGAGAGAGGCGCAGAGGCGGTGACAGACAGCCTGGGACAGGAGGGGCTCTGCAGGAGTGAAAGTCAGCGATGGAGAGGACGATAAGGACAGGGTCAGCGGGGGCGAAGGGAGCTGCACTACCTGCAGAATGGGAGGGAGGCAGACAGGGAGAAATTGGGTCAGCGAGGGAGCAAGACAGCAAGAGGAAGAGTGAGAAAAACCTGGACGTGAGGAGAAGAAGCAGGTCTGAGGCGGAGGGGCTATGGGCAGGAAGAGAGACAGGGAGCCCGGTGGAGCAGGCTGGAAGAGCAGACCGCAGCCACATGTAATTACAGTGCCTGGCGCAGCCCCTGTGCAGGGTGGGCGGAAGGCAGAAATGGAGCCACCTTCAAATCCGCAGCTCCGGAGCCAGGACTAGGACCCCGGGGCTCAGGGGAACAAGGTCCTGAGGGTTGGAGGTGGGGGAGGAAGGTGGAAAAGGGCCAGGTCCCGCACTTTCAGTCAAGGGTGTGGGAAGGCCTGGGGGGTGGTGCAGGGAGCAGGGAGGGTGATGCCAGAGGTCACAGGGTCAAGGTCCAGGCCAGGCAATTATGGAGTGCAGGGTGCAGGCTGAGGGTCTTCAGATTCCAGGCCATATAGTCAGAATGAAAGGGGCCTCAAGAGGGTGTACCCAGCACCACATCCCTGCCACATTGGGAACAGGGGAGACATGGAAACAAGAGACTCAGAGATGCAGAGACCAAAAGGGCACAGGGGGAGGAGAGAAGTAGAGAGGGAGACAGAGAAAGATGAAGAGAAAGAGCAGGGAACCCAGGGAGTAAAAGATAAGCACGCCCACTGCACCCCACCGCACAAAGAGATCATGAGTGAGATGTACCCAGGGAGAGAGACAAAGACTAGGCCTGGAAAAAGAATCAACCCCAGAGAACAGAGGGGCTTGCATGTGGTGTCCTTATCTGAGCTGTCTCCAACTGTGCATGTGCGCATGCCTGTGTGTGTGTGTGTGTGTGTGTGTGTGTGTGTGTGAGAGAGAGAGAGAGAGAGAGAGAGAGAGAGAGAACAAGAACAAGAACAGAGGAGAGAGTAATGAGTGGGGTCAATTAATGTGAAGCATGCAGGTGGGGGGAATACCCCAAGGGGGCCATCCAGTGGCTCATTTGCCTTCCTGGGCACTGAGCATCCCTCTGTGACCTCTGACCTTCAGAAACCCCCAGCAATCCTGTTCCAAAGACACTGGTCTCTCATGGCTGGAGGGCAGAGGCCCCAGTGGGCAGCACAAAGGGTGCAGGCAGAGTGGGCATGCCGGTGCCCGCCCCGGGAAAACCACAGGCCCTGCCTGGAGACAGGAGCTGGGGCAGGAGGCGAGGGCAGCAGACAGTGCTGGGAACCCCTCAGGGCTCCTACTGCTCTGGGAGGCAGAGGTAGTTTCCCCCAAGCCCATCTGCTCTGTGGGCCTGATGAGCACCCCTCTGCTGCCTGGGGTAGTGAGAGAGAACTCCAATGTCTTCTGGATGGCCACACGGCTGGGAGCAGGTCAGGGGCAATGCCACTGGAGGAAAAAGGATGTGGCTTGCTACATGGCACCTCAGCTTGGTCTACAGCACTTCAGACATCACTCTTGAGGCTAAGACCAAGTTGGCATTAAGGAAGGAGGCTCAGGGCTGGGATCCTAATTCACAGGAAGCAAGGGGCCTAGTCAGCTCCAGCCTCTGGTCCCCAGAGGCATCTTGCCATGACCCTGAACAGGACATAGCCTGGCTATGGAGGTAAAGGTCTGAGCCAGCAGCCGGGAGATCCCAGCTGCCATCAGTTACCAGCTTGAGCAGGTTAGCTGAACTTGAGTTACCTTGTTGTGAGGCGGGTCCCAGTGCTTACCTCTCTGGGTTTCCTAAAGTAAATGAAATGCTTTGGGGTGCTGAGCAGAGCCCTTAGCATCATGCAGAGGGTCATTCCTAAGCTAAGCTCCCTCCCTCCCTTCAGCCCTTTTTGGTCTCACATTTCCTAAGCAGCGGGATTCACTCAGCAGGACGGCAAGCACAGGCCAGACCAAAATGACAGAGACCAGGTCTCAATCTGAGCATTGCTCTGGCAGGGGCAGGCATTTATGGGTACTAAGGGGCAAGATTTCCAGAAGGGGCATCTATAAACTGTGGAGGCGAGAGGTTCCTATCTTAGAGGTGTGCATGTATGTGTGTGTATGTTTAGGGCGTTTCCCAGAGAAGCGATGTCAACAAAGAAGGGGGAAAGGACATTTGGAGAAGAGTAGCAGGAACCCAGACCCCAGAGCCCACAGCTGCATGTGAAGGAAGGAGATGTCAGGCCACATGGAGGAACTGAGGGTGGTGCACCCACAGGACAGCTGGGGCACAGCAGGTCTTCCCAGGCTTTCTCCTGAGGTTACCGGGGTGCACGGGGTGATGCTATCAGTCCTGCAGTAGAAGGAACCCAGCAGTTGTCTGGGTGCCCAGGGTACAAGTGGGGAAGGTGAGAAAGAAGGGTTAGGACACTGTTACCCATCTCCGGTCCCCTCCCCGAGTGTCACCACTCTCCAGGCAGCCTCTCTTAATAGTCACCTACAGGGCTGGAGACCTTGAACCTGGTGGGAAGGACAAGGTAGAAAGAGCATGGACTATCCTGAGGAGGGCCTCCTGCAGTAGAGCTGCCACTGTGGGTGAGCACAGTCCGGGGGAGGAGACACTATCCAGTCTAGCAATCTTTTTTTTTTTTTTTAAAGATTTATTTATTTATTTGTTTGTTAGGGACTTATTTATTTATACAAGCACTGAGTACAGTCAGAAGCGCGGGAGGGTGAGAGAATTCACCAGAGCCAGAGCGGGGAGCAGAGCAGGCAGAAGGACCAAGGTACACTGCTGAGGGGAGCAGCGGGCGGCAGGAGAGGTCTGCGCGCCATGTGGGACCCCTCCTCAGGTGATGCAGCCGGGGATCGAACCAGCGCTGCGAGGCTGCGGGCAGCTTCGCAACCCGGCGCTCAACTGCTGCGCCACCAGGGAGGCCCACCAGTCTAGCAATCTTGACCTAGAAACGCAGGGCAGCCCGCTGCCCCAAGTCAGGTGGGGCAGCAGAGGGGACCCAGCAGATGCCCTCCTATGGGAGCAACCCTGAGGGCAGAGAGGAAACCCAGCTGAGCACCCAGATGTGGAAGCACAGTGAGAAGGAGTAAGAGATAGCAAGATCTGGTCTACAGGTGAGATTCTTCCTGGCCAAGAGGCCCTGGCCCCAGGCCCAGATACTGGACCAAGAAATAGCTCTTGCTAGCAGCAGGTGGAGTGCAGGTGCTCAACCACCCAGAGACCCGAAGAGTCTTTCTTGTTGTGGCCGTGAGACTGTGCCGACCAGCCACAGAGAGGTGAATACCTAAACAGAAGCCCCCAGAGGGATGTTCAAGGGAAGTTCTAGAAATGCAGACTGAGCCAAAGGGAAGGGTGGCCAGCAACGGTCAAGGGCTGCTGTGTGAAAGTGCAGCTCATGGTTTACATAAAGACACCTGCTAAGGGGGTGAGTGAGGGGCTGGAGTCTCTGGTTGAGCCCTGTCCTCTCTGAAGTACCATCTGCTCATCCAGCTCAAACCTGCTTTGTCTGACCAGAGGCCACAGGGGACCCTGCAAGCTCATGGGGTCTTAGCAGAAGACATCTGTTCTATATATCTTCCCTCAAGGTCCCCATCCTCAAGGAGGAAATGCAGAAAGGCAACTCCCCATTTCCCTGATACACTCTCATCCCTTACACAAGATAAGGTCTGGGAAGACAACACCAAGAGGGAGTGAAAAAAATCGTGTTCAGATTCATCAGCCCCATGGGTAAGGCTGAGATGCTTGCAGCCTCAGCAGGGATGCTGTGGGCTCCCACTGCCTGCTGCCCACCAAGCTGAGGAGAGCTTCTGAACCACAAAGGAATAGGGAGAACTCTTCCAGGTGGAATGGGGGGCCCCAAGCCTGGAAAGTGCCCATAGGGGTTCAGCCAACAGGTCGCTGGCTAGTGGAGAGAGGCCCATGTCTGCCCCCTCGGCCCAGCCCTCTCCAGTGTCTTTGTGGATAGTGGGTCAGCTTCCTCCTTGCAGCTCTGACCAGCTCTGGAGAAGGGCCAGACCCAAGCTGCCCGAGGGTAGTGCCTGGAACCCCATGCTCCAGTCTCTCTTGGCCTGGGGTTCAAGGCCTCAGCCTATACCTGCAATCTAATTAATGGACAAGGGCCCTGAATCTGAAGCAAACTGACTCTCCGTGGTCCCAGAGTAGCCCTAAGTCCACAGAGTGAGAGGAGAGAGTGAAGACTGGGGTAGCGTCTGGCCCCAAATCCCAAGAAAGTAGAAAGCAGACCTGTTAGACTCACACCTGCACACCTTGCTCACAGCCCCAGGCCTCTAGGCTGAGGACTAGAGAGGGTCTGAGCTGGCCAGTTAGGCTGGGTTGGTTGGTTTTATTTTAGTTCTGACGGTTCCAATTCCCCAGGAAATTCAATTTAGAACCAAGAGCAGGAATGTGACGCCCCAGTGCTGGGCAGAAATCTGCTGTGGGTTAGGGAGCCAGGCTCCAGGGGCTCTCAGGGGTGAGTGGGGAGGCGGGCACGATGGAAGCCATGGGTGTGGGGGCTGGGCCATGTGCCCCCACCAGAACTGCCATGGGTCTCCTTGCACCCTATCCAGGTCTTGGGCAGCTGAGGGAGGGGCTGACTTGCTCCTGGCCCTCTCAGCAGGGCCCCCAGGGGCAGCACCTGGGCCTTGCTGTTCTGTCAGTGCTCAGCAGGGAGCGTGGGGGATTCTGGTCTTGGATTCAGGCGTCTGTGGGGTTTTGGCTGGGTCTCCTGCGGTTTGGGCTTCCTGGGCAGCAGGCTCATTCTCCCAAGGCCTCCTTGTGTTATGAAAGCCACATTGTCTGGCCCAGCCCAGGCTGGGGAGGGGGCTCACTGGGCTGGGGCACTGGGGGCCTCAAGTTACAGCCTAGGGCTTAACCCTCCCAGTGGCCCACCGAGGCCCTTGTTCCCTGCCCCAGGACTTTTACTCCTTCCTCTCCCAGTTGGGGCTCAGAATGGGTCGCTAAGGGGAAGGGATCTTGGGAGGAGGTAGAGGAGTGAGCAAGGAAATGGATAAGAACAGGAGGAAAGCAGGGAAGTGGGAGGATGGGAAAGAAGCAGCAGGCCCAGAAAGAGGCTGGGAGGCAGCGAGAAGGTTCCCAGACACAGAGAAAGAGCCCCTCCAGTTCTCTGCTCTAGATCTCTTTCTGTGCTGGAGGAGCCCAAATCTTAGAGCCTGTTCCACAGAAGTCCCCACTCCAGCAGCCCCCACAGTGAGTCTGAGTGGCTGTAAAAGCACAACAGACACATTCGTCTCATCTATGTGTTGGCCCCTGGCCAGGCTTCTCCCCTTTATCTTCACTCTAGTTTAGGGGCTCCTCTTGCACCTCACAACCCTGGGTGGCCACAACAGCAGCCACATCCAGTAGACTCGGGGTGCTGAGACAGGCCCCTCCAAACAGGTAGACCAGCCCAATGGGCAGATGTGGACACTGAGGCTGAGAAGGGAAGGTACTTGTCGCAGGCCGTGCAGGGAGTTAATGCCAGCGGTCCAGGCCCAGATGGTCATCTTTCAGAGAAAGAGGAGCAAGGCAGGCAGAGCGGGGGAGGGGAGAGGAAGGCAGGAGAAGGAGAGTAAGCTGGAGCAGACATTAAAGTCCTGAATCCAGGCCTGTGCTCCCCAACTTCACCCTCGATGTTACCGGCTCTCCTGGAACTTGTCTTCACAGGGGACCCAGCTTACACTTCTTAATGGGGAGAAGAATGCAGGAGAAATCGCCACCGGGCCTTCGCCCTGACACCCTCTCTCAGGGAGTCAAACCCTCCCAGGGCTGGGAGGCTCCAAAGCAATCCCTGGGAGGCTCCAGACCCTCAGAGTTGGGGGAAGGGCGTTTCACTTGGGTGGTGGGCACTTTGGCTGGGGTGTTTGTGGGGGGAGGGGGGATCTGGGGGAAAGAGGATAGAGAGAGAGAAGCAGGGAGGGAGAGAGAGAGGAGGCGAGCTGCTGGGTGGGAGCAGAGGGGACTGACCAGGCCCGGGTGGGGAGGAAGGCAAGCCAGACGAGATGGCAGGGAGGGGAGGGGCCGGGTCCTGCTGCCGCTTGCAGAGGACAAAAGTTTTCGGGAAGCTCCGGGCTCTGCTTGAATTGGGGGAAGGGAAGGAAAAACTCAGACACCCCTACCCCCGCCTGAGGCCCCCATAAATATTTACACACTGGGCAGAAACGGTCTGGACACAAATCCCAGGCAGACAGACAGACACTGCTGTGTGTGTGTGTGTGTGTGTTTGGTGCTGGGAGTGGGGAAAGTTGGAGCCAACTTGGCACAGCAGCCACCTCCGTTGGGGCCCTGTCCCCATCATCCCAGCCTTGGACCAGGTCCTGGATACCCAGACTCCTCGCTTCCACCCCTAGCCAAGCTCCCCGGAACCGTCTCCCCAAGTCTGTCTGAGCAGGGGCAAGAATGACCCCCCTCCCACTTCCGACCGCCTGCCTGCCCAGCGCCGGGCCAGCCTGGCTCTCCACCCCAGGTCCTACCTGGGCCCGGGTCTGCGCTGGAGGCTCCATGGGGCGCGTCGCAGTGAGGGGGGCGCTGGCCACTCACCTGGGACATCGGCCCGGGACCTGCGGAAAACAGGGCTCAGCCGGCGGGGACAACTCCCGCCCCCCGCCCCCCCCCCGCGCCGGTGCGAGGGAATGGGGACTCGGGGGGAATCCGGACTTGGGGGGTAGATACGCTCCTACCCCCTTTCCAGCCCAGTCACCGAGGAACTCACTCGAGCTTGCTGCGCGCTCCTCTCTCGCCCCCCGGATCACCGCGCAGGGCCGGCCATGCGCGCCTGCCGCGAGCGCCCCGCCGAGGGGCCACTGGCTCCGCGGGGCTCGCCGCGCCCCTCCCCTCTCACTCGCGGCTTCCCCCCATCCCGGCGCCAGCTCGCAGGCTCGCCCCCTTCCTTCTTCCTTTTCTCCCTCCAGCCCCCTCGCTCCTCCCCGGCTCGCCTCTCCCCACCCCTCCTCCGCGGCCCACCCTCTCCCCGCCCCTCGCCTGCCCCGTCGCCCCCCCACCCCGTCCCTTTCCCCCCAGCCCGGCCCGCGCGCCTCTGGCGGGACACGTCTGTCCGCGGGGCGCCGCGGCCGGAGCCCCCACAGGAAGCCGGCTCGGCGCGCTTCCTCCTCGCTTTCGGAGCTGGGCCCCAGTCTCCCCAAACCCCCGCCCCCAGCCCTCCGCCCCCAGGCCCCGCGCCCCCGAGCTGTGGAGCGGGGCTGCACGTCTCCCTTCGCCAGCCCTAAACTCTGCAGAAGTTTGCGGAAAGATCAGGAGAACGAGAGCGCGCGACCGCTGTGACCCCAACCGCCGCCGGCAGATTGTCTGCATCGTTGTGGCCCCCAAATCTCGCCCCCAAGATGGCAGTGCCCGAGTTCCCCCCGCAGGCTTGGCCCACCCTCTCGGTCTCGGCGGGGGCCAGGGCCGGTGACCCACGCCCGGCTGCCGCCTCGGCTCACCCCCAGAGTCGTCCCTCGGAGGAAACCGGCTCCCACACGCGGCCTCCGGCGCCGCGGGGCTGCCCGGACCCCCACCCTGCCCGCTGCGCGTGGGAATCTGTGTCCGAAAACCGACTTCGGAGGCCAAGAGAGGTTCTCGGGGTCTGTCCTCAAGGTCCCAGGCTGAAACCCGAGGCCTTTGAAATTGCGGGTTCGAGGGGAAAGAGAAAGAGGGGGGAGCTTGGCGCACGTCTGGAATTGTGAGTTGGGACCCTCCTCCGGGCGGAGGGGGAGGGAACGAGCCCCCTCCCCCGGCCGTCGGGGGGGTTTCTAGGACCCTCTCTCAGCGTGACCCCGGCACCGGGTTCGAGAACCGGGGAGGGCGCGGAGCCCGCAGCGCCGGGTGTGGCCGGGCGGGCCGGGGGTGCGGGCGGGGGTGACCCTCAGGTGGCGCCGCCCTCGGGGTGACAGCGTCTCGGCCACACTTGACCCGGCCGCCTCGAAGCCGCGTCTGGGCTCCGCCGCCAGGGCCAGCGAGCAATTAGGGAGGCGGCTGCGGCGCCGGGCCAGTTCTTCTAGTCCGCCTTCCAGCTCCGGCTGGAAGCTGGGGGCTGGGAGCGGGGGGTTCGAGCAAGGGACTCGGGCCTCGCCTGGGTCTTCCCCACCCGCCTCAGTCGCTACTTACGGGGATCGCGGGTCCTCTCGGCGCCGTCGGGGCCAGGACTGCGTGGCCCCCACGGCGCCAGGCGAGCCCTCGCGGCGGGCCCAGGTGACTGCGGCCGGAAGAAGGGGCCCGGGCCGGGAGGAGGGGGTCCCGCTCCCGGGGCGGGCTGCCTTCTGCCCGGGCCTGGCCTGGCGCCCCGGGAGCCAGTCCCGATCCGACAGCTGTCTGGGAGCTCTGGAGCGCGGGGCGGACTCCCCTTTCCTGGCAAGGGTTGAGTCACCGGGACGCGCCCGCGCCGTGGCTTGGCGAGGGCTGCATTCTTACCAGCTTACCTGGGCCTGCGGGCTGGACCTCACCCGCCACCAAGGGATGGGGGTGGGTGCGGGAGTTGGGAAGATGGACATTGCCTCCAAGGAGCCAACACCTTCCCCAAACACAGACCCTAGCTCCTCCACCCCGGATTGTCAGTCACTATCCAGGGCCCCCTACTGTCCCAGGTGACTTGTTTCCTCGTAAAAATTCTCTGGATCAGGCCCAGTATTAATAAGTCTAGTTTGTTGGAAATGCACAATGTGCTTTAAATTTAACCCCACGTGCTGGTTATACAGGTGCGTTCAGTTTGTGAGAATTCAGCAAGTGGAACCTTTAAAGTACATGCACTTTTTGTGTGTGACTCCTATACTTGAATAAAAAGTTTAGGAAAATCAAAATTTTAAAATCAACACTCGGCTTCAGAGTATGGTAGGGTGTGAGGCTCAGGCTTGGGTTGTGTGGCCTGGGCTCCAGATCCCAGCTCCACCATCCAGGTGTTTCCTTGGGGAAGTCCCTTCACCACTTTGCACATCAGGCGGAATGAACATTGAGGCCCTCCATATGGCTGGTCATTGTTATCCAGAACCAGCACTAAGGGGAGGTGAGGCACCCTTAGGATTACAAAATTTAAGAGGGTGCCAAGGCAAATAATGGTTTAATCCAGTGTTTGAAAAAGCAATCAGAAAATTACAGCCCTGCCAACCAGTTTCCTATTTTTATAAATAAAGTTTTATTGGAACTAGGACTAGGATTAGGGTGACATGAAGAAGAAAGAATTGTGCAAATTCAGGGGGAGATTCTGTCTTTATTTAAAATGTTGGCATTTTGTTCATCATGGATTTTTTTGTATTAATTTTTATTTTTAGAAACATTGCAGAAAAAAAAATTGTTGATCTCAATTACTGGGTTTCTGATGCCCCTTTTTGAATCTGAGCCAAGTGCCTCACTCAATCCAGTCTCTTCCCTCTTACTATCCTGGAAGGACCTGCCAGGTACCCCAATGTAAATGAGTAGAGCTTGAAAATGCCCCTGCCTCATTTAGGCTGTGCACCCCAGTCTAGGCCTAGCTTTTTTGGGACCTGCTGATCAGTTCAGAGTCAAATGCAAAATCTTTACAGTGATTGTCAGGTTCCCTGAACTGGCCTTGGCCTTCATCTCCCCTCACTCATTCCCTTCCAGACTTGCTGCTTCCTGAATTTGTTTTTTCAACTTGCCTCGTGTTCTTGCCTCAGGACCTTTGCACTTGCTCTTCCCTCTGCCCAGAATGTGCCTCCTCTAGATAGTCACATGACCCCCCCTTCCTCATTTCCTCTGTTTATGTCACTTTCTCAGAAAAGCTATCCCAGATCTCTTTTTCTATCACCTTATACCACTTTACTATTGGTCATAGGACTTTTCACCACTTTTCCTGTTTTTTATTTGCTTGTTTATTGGTAGACTGAAAGCTGCAGGAGAGAAGGGACTTAGCCTTGTCTGCCAGCACATTCCCTAGAATCGTGTCTGCCACAGAGAGCTCAGTAAATAGTTCCAGTTGTGCAGAAGGGCAAACAATAGGCCAGAAAGGGGAAGGGGCTAGTTCAACTCACACAGTGAGTTAGTGGCAAAACTTTATTTACTAAGCCTCGGGCTTCCAGACTCTCAGCTCAATGCTTTTCCTGCACCCCCTCCTCCCAGCTTATCCTCATCCCCCACCCCAGAACCCTTCAGGCAACAAAGGTGACAGTGACCCTGTACAAGTCTCCCATGCAGTCCTTTCCACACAATGCCCTCACAAGGCCTGGCCTGGCTCCAGCCCCAGCGTCCAGCAGGCAAGCACAGCTCTTCCTGGCTTCCTGTCTCTGGCACAGGGCCAGTTGGTGGCTGGACTGGGTTCCGCAGCTGGACCACAGCTGTGCTATCCACGTCCTGGAGAGTGGGGGACAGGACACTGTGGTGCAACCTCTTTGAAAGGGGCAGTATAGAAGGGAGTGTGTTTGCATGTAGTGGGGGGAGGGTGCTGGGTAGGACTGACAACCCCCAGCTCCCCTTCCCAACCTTCTCCCTGATGGACACTGAGTGGGGAGTGGGGCTCTAATTATCCCTTTCTTGGGGGAAATTGCATGCCACGAAGTGAAATGTGCCATGGACTCCGGTCCTGACTCTGTCCCTCTCTTCCCATGATAGAAGATGATGGCGGGGTGTCACACTCGGTAAACATGAGCTGGGTGTGTCCTACATGGCAGCCCCTTGCTAGATATTTTTAGATTTATTGCTTCCTTTAATGCCTACACAGTCTGGGTAATTAGTATCCCCATTTTACAAATGAGGAAACTGAGGCACGGTATGGTGACGTGACTTGCTCACGGCCACACAGCTACTAGTGGGTAGGGCTGGGACTTGAACCACATTTCTGAGGCCACGTTGGTGCTCATTCCAATCCCCACATAGCCTTTAGCACACAAAGGGGACTTACTAACCATTCCACTGTGTCTCCCTGATTGCCCAAGATGGAGACACTGCCCCTTCTCTGTCTCATTGCCAACTGGGGTGCCAGGCATTTGGCAGAGTATAGTTGAAAGAGTGGGCTTGCATTGCGTCATGGAGACCCGATTTGCATCTTGGCTGTGTGGCTATGTGGCTTTGGGCAAATCCTGTGGATACTCTGGGCCTCCAGTTCTGTGTAAACCTGGGAGGACAGGTCTCACTCACAATTGGGGGAGGAGATTAAGTGAACACCCGCTATTGCTATCATCTTCGTCCTGGCTCTCAACTGACCTTGCTGACCTTGTCCAACATCCCTGCTTAGGTCTCAGCCAACAGCAGTCCAGGGGAGCATCAGAGGACATTGTTATTGTTCTGACTGAGTGAACAGCAGATTCTGTGAATAAACCAATTTAATACTACCAATATTACAACCCAAGTAATGGTAAATGCCACTATTTCCTCCAGTTTACAAATGAGGAAACCAATGCATTGAGTTGTTAAGCATCTCGCCTAAGCCCCACAACCTTTCACCCACACCCCACTCCACAGAATTTCCTCAGTCCCTTCCTCCCAGGTGGGCAGGATTGAGGTGGGGTGGGATAGGGGAGGGGAGGTAACTCAAGTCATTAGCTGAGCCTCCACTTCATATGGGTGCTGTTCCCCTGTGGGGAGGTAATGAATGGGAATGGTTACCTATGCATGAATGTCCTCATGCAATGGCTAATTTTTTAAATAAGTTTTTTTATTTAAGTAATTCAGCTTTATTACAATTAAAGATAAACCTGTTAAAAATTTCTGGACAATGCCAGCATTTAGATATTTTTTTAAAAAAAGACTATTTTTTTCAGAACACTTTTAGGTTCACAGCAAATGTAGACAGAGTACAGAAAATTCCCACATACTCCTGCCCTTCTCTCCCCACCAAAAACCTCATGCAACACTATCGAAAACCCCTCTCAATGTGGCAAGTGGGGTCCCATCAGGGATCCTACATTGACACATTGCTGTAACCTCAAGTCCTATTTAGGTCACAATCC